TAAATCAATTATGTAGTCGATCCCCTGCTCGGCATGAAGCGACGCCCAGGAGACCGAGGGCGACGAGTACCAGCAATTCTATGGGCAATTCTATGGGACCAGAGCTGCACTACGATGTCCCCGACCCTCGATCCTCGTGAGCCTCGGGTGCCACGATCCTCGTGAGGGGTGTCAAACATTTGCCCTCCCACTGGCCGAAAAAGGAGCCTCTGGCACCGCGACCCCTCAACAAACAAATCCCAGGGAGGGGATGGGGAGGGTTCCCCCCCCCCCAGAAGGGAAGAGGAGAGGAAAGAGACCCTCCTAAGACCACCTGTCGCCCAGAGGGCTGGTGGGGCTCCATGGGACCAGAGCCGCATCACGCTCTCCCAGGCTCCCCGGGGGCAGCGCGGGACTGGTCGCCTGGGCGCCTCCCCCTCGGTGCTAGGGGAGGCCTTGCCTCGGCGCCAGCTCCCCAGGCCGGCCCGGCTCGTCGTCGTCCTCCTCCTCCTCCTCCTCCTCCTCCTCCTCCTCCTCCTCCTCCTCCTCTGTCTCCTCGTCCTCCTCCTCCTCCTCCTGCTCCTCGTCCTCCTCCTCGTCCTCCTCGTCCTCCTTCTCCTCCACCTCCTCCTCTTCCTCCCTCCTCCCTTCCCCCTCCTCTTTCAGCGTCCAAAACCCGGGCAATAGCGCAGTCCAAAGCGCGTGAAACGTTTGTGGAAGACGCTGGCAAGGACGCTGCAAAGCATGCCCAGGGAGCTTGCGAGCTCGGGAAGGGAGCCTCGCAAGAACTCCCGATGAGCTTCGAAAGAGCTGCGCATCGGCACGCGTACTGGGAGCGAGTAGGAAAATCGTTCTCGGGACATGCTGCCGGCTCAAGCAACCTGCTGCGAGGATGCTTGCTTGGGAGCCTTGAAGCGGAGCTGGCGTAGCCCTGCCTGCGGGTTGTTTGTTTAACAATCCTCTTAGCTCGTCAAGGAGCTATCCAGGAACATAGGATGTATCTGCGGGCAACCAAGGAAAGGCACTTAGGATGTATCTCGACCAGGACATGTTCTGAGGAGACGCACGCGGGCAACCCAGGAAAGGTACCACATGAAGGTTCCCGGGGAGCTCCGCTGCGGAATGCCTCTCGAGGAGGGGGAGGGGGTCGTGGGCGAACGACACATCCTCATCCGCGACCTCGCAGTTTGGGCCCCGGGGCCGCGAGCCCGTGGATACGGGGCGTTTTTTCGCGGATGCCCCCTCTTCGCGCGCGTATCCTCGGGATCGTGTCCTGGAATTTAGCTGCGATGGCGCGGATACGGATATGTTCGCCGCTCGTGAGGGGGAGGGGCGGTAAGGCGTCGGATTGCGCACAGACGGCCCCCCCAGGTGGGCCCGACGGGCCTCCACAGCCCCCCCCCGCAGGAGGAGCAGAAGCCCAGCGGCAGGAGGAGAAGGGATGGAGGGAGACGACGGAATAGGTACTGAACCTGCAGATGCGGGAGAAGAGAAGCTCGGGCGGGGCTAGGACGAGGATACATTCGTTCCAGAGCGTTCTGGATTGCTCTCAGAGCGTTCCGGAACGCTCGGCGAAGGCCGCGGCGCCTCAGACATCCTCCAGAACCGCCGGATCTCAGAGAGTCTCGATTCATCCTCACCTGAAAAATCTTCGTCATGGCTTCGTCGGACCGCTTGTGGAAGGCCGCGGCGCCCGAGACATCCTCCAGAACCGGCGGATCTCAGAGATTCTCGATCTATCCCCACCTGAACTTCTCCTCGCCCAGGGTTCGTCTCAGGAGCACAGGGTCAGGCAGACCTGGCCTCAACAGACCTCCCGAGCACTGTGGACGACGATCACTGGAGAGGAAGCATGCTGCCAAATAATTTCCAGATGTCTAAACATGTTTTACGCATGTCTTAGACATGTAACAACCATGTCTTAAACTGGTTTAGAACATTTTCCTACATTTTGAACACATGCTTATTTACCTAACAGCTTTTGCTGATAGGTTTCTAGTAGGGTCACAAGAGAGCATCATGACTCCTCAGGGGGGTCTGGGCGGGTGCCGGGGAGGAGAACCGGGAATCGTTTTTCGCCAACAGTCACACACTTCGTGCTCTTCGACCTCCCAGAATCCACTCCCGGGCCACATTCTGGAGAACCGGGAATAGAGCCGGGCTTGTTTTTCGTCAACAGTCACACACTTCGTGCTCTTCGACCTCCCAGAACTCCATTCCCGGGCTACATTTTGAGTGCCCGGAGCCAACTGTAGGCCACTTCGTGCTCTTCGAGTTCCCAGAACTCCATTCCCGGGCCACATTTTGGATGCCCGGAGCCAACTGTAGGCCACTTCGTGCTCTTCGATTCCCAGAACTCCATTCCTGGGCCACATTTTGAATGCCCGGAGCCAACTGTAGGCCACTTCGTGCTCTTCAAGTTCCCAGAACTCCACTCCTGGGCATGATTTTGAATGCCCGGAGCCAACTGAAGGCAGACTGAGGCTGAGGCTGAAGCAGGCTGAGGCTGAGGCTGAGGCTGAAGGCGCACTGAGGCTGAGGCTGAAGCAGGCTGAGGCTGAGGCTGAGGCAGGCTGAGGCTGAGGCAGGCTGAGGCTGAGGCTGAGGCAGGCTGAGGCTGAGGCTGTGACTGCGACTGCCGTTGCCGCTGCGACTGTCATCGCGAATGCGACTACGACTGCGAGAACAGCAGAATTCTACAACTGGATTTTCATCTGAATCTTAAGGGGAATGCTTTCAGATATGCTTCTACACATCGCTGTTAGGTTGCTTTGCCGGGATAATTTTTTATCTAGATGTAGGATTGTTCGGGTGTCCATTGTCATGGGATCCACAACCCGAGCAGTCCCAGCTGGTCCCAGCGTGCGCTGCCAGGGCACGCCAGGGCCAGGGAGGGAGGAGGAATGGGAGGAGGAGGAGGAGGAGGAGGAGGAGGAGGCGGAGGAGGAGGAGGAAGAGGAGGCGGAGGAGGCGGAGGCGGAGGCGGAGGCGGAGGAGGCGGAGGAGGCCCTGACACCGAGCAGTCCGGGGCGGTCTCGGCACCCTGGGACCGCCTCCGGCTGCGCGCCCCGGGGGGGCGATCTCCGCGCCCCAGGGTCGGGGCGTGGAGATCGCCCCGGGGCTGCTCGGGGGGGCCCACTTGAGGCCAGCTGCGGCCACTCGGACCCCGTTGATCGGTGGCGAGCGACGCTCCCAAGCGTTCGCTCCCACGCGCTCCCAGGCGCTCCCAAGCGATCCCAGGCGCTCCCAGGCGCTCCCACGCGTTTCCGGCACACTCCCAGGCGCTCCCAGGCGCTCCCAGGCGCTCCCATGCGCTCCCAAGCGCTCCCAGGCGCTCCTAGGCGCTCCCAGGCGCTCCCAAGCGCTCGCAGGCGCTCCCAGGGGGGGAAGTGAGAAGGGGCGGGCCTGCTCAGAAGGCTCGGAAGTCCCCCCGCTTTGCCTCCCACGAAGACGCAGAAGACCTCTCAGAAGGCGCGAGGGTTTCTGAGAAGTCCCGCCGCCTTCTGAGAAGGACTCCTTCTCACTTCTCCCCTTTGCTCGCCGCCGAGTTGAGGCCAGGTCTACCTGACCTGTGCTCCTTCTCCCGCACTTCCTCCCGTTGTATCCCTCCATGCCTCACCGAGCGCGTTCCACTCCTCGCAAAGTGCCTACTTGCAAGCGTCAGGGAAAAACAAACGTGTGCCTCGATCTTTGATGGATCGTATATCCCCCGCGGCGGATTCGGGCCATTTGCGACTAGTCACCTTGCGATTAGTGGAATGAGCTTGTCTACTCCCTTCTCCTCATCGCGCGCTTTTGCTCCTCCTGCTCCGCTGCCTCCCCGCGTGTTCTTGCCTTCGTGCCCCCCCACCCGGCACCCGGTAACGTTTGGCCTTTCTTTATCGTCGCCTCGCCTCGCCCCTCGTCCATTCCTAACCTGTCGTGTGCGTTTCTTCCTCTCTCTGTGTCTCGTTTTCTACTTGTCTTTTGCTATCTCTCCAGGCCTTTCTCTTTTTCATTTGTGCTCTCTCTCTCTCTCTTTCTCCCTCCCTCATGTCGTTCATCCTATCACTTTCTCCCCACGTTTTCCCCGTGTGCCCGCAGTTTTCGTGCACCTTCATATCTCTGCTCTGACTGCGCATGATCAAGCGCGCACTAATATCTGACGACGCAGCTCAGACATCAGTGGCGTCTTCCCTTGCCATTGTACCAGTATGCGTGCAACGATGGTGGTCACTGGTCAGCACAGCGAGATGGAGTAGACGTCGTGTGCACAACCGAGCACGCCACACGGGAGTGGCAAGAGAGATAACATCAACCCGACCACTGTGTAACGATCAAGTCGCCGTGGGTTTCGGTCGCGAGTCCTGCCGACGAGTCGGCACATTTCCCTGGCGGAGTCCGAGGCGAGCCCCTGCAGCCGATACGGAAGGCCTTCCAGACAAATCGTTAGCAGCGTCAGCATTCGATGCAGTTGCTTCATTTTCACAGGCGAAGCTCAACCAGGAGACATCGATCACTCGCCAGATGAATCCCAGGACAGACCAGATAATGCAATTGCAGGTGTTTGGTGACTGCATGCAACTTGGGTGTGTGAACATGCACCAAGCTCGACCGTTCCCGCGCGCGAGGGCCGAGGACATCGAGGGCCGTTCGGGTCACACCGATCCAACGATGCGAGAGGTCGTGACGGCTTACGCCGACGAGACGGACGAGTGAATCGGATTCTTGGACATTGGCACCAGCACCAATATCGGCGGTGTGCCCCCACCCGGGGAAGATGATCCCGATCTCGGTGATGGTGGTAATAGTATGGTTGTCTAGGTGGCCGGCATATGACCTCCAGCACCGCAATCGAAAATCATCTTCCAGGGGTAGAGGCACACCGCCGATATTGGTGTTGGTGCCAACGTGCAGGCTCCTTTTCCACGTTTCCGATCACGCTTGTACATGCATCAGGACCCCAAATCAGGACATACATGAACTTCAGAAACATAAATCAGCGGGTGGGAAACGGGGGGGACACCTAAACCAGGACACACCCTCCTCCTCCTCCTCCTCCTTCTCCTCCTCCTCGGGCCCTGCTGCTGGCGCTCGAGGTCGAACCTTGGGGATGGATTCGGGCGCCGCGAGCTCTTCGCGCCCGCCGGCCGATTATAAGTTTGGTGGGCTTCTCGCCGAGGGCCCGCGTTCACTCCGCTCGGGAGCCCTCGAGCGAAGTGAACCCCACCCTCCCCCGCAGAAATCGTGGGGGGTAGGGGTAGGGTTCGCAGGTGGCCCCCCATCGAAGGCTGAGCGGTCCACTCGGTATCGGGGGCCAACGCGCGGATCGTCACGGCACACACTTGCCGTACCGTTGTCGTGTAGGGCGTGTCTCTTCTTCGGCGCCCTGCGGCACGCCATCTCGCAGGACGCGGCGGCCAAGGACGCGGCGGAGAAGGCGGCCTTCTCGCGCCCGAAGCTCCCGCCGGAGGACAGGTCGCGCGTGATATTCCTGGACGTCGACGGGGCGCGCCCAGGGAGGAGGAGGAGGAGGAGGAGGAGGAGGAGGAGGAGGAGGAGGAGGCGGAGGAGATACAGAAAGAGGAGGAGGAGGAGGAGGAGGAGGAGCAGGAGGAGAGGACGAGGATATATGCAGAAGAAAAGGACCAGAGGAAGAGGACTACTATCCAGTTGAATCAGGATATAATCCGTAGCCATTTTGGCTCAAGCCTGGCTCAACCCCGCTTGCGCGCGCGTCGGCATGCCGATTCCGCACAGTGCATGGAGAGCTCTTGAGAATGGCTGTGGGAACTGCCCCAGATGCGTGACTGGTGCATGGGAGTCGAACGGCGGCGCGGAGCCCGCGGCGTTCGCGGGCCATCGAATCATCTGAAAGATTTGATCCGCAAGCTGCTGGAGCACCGCGACCAGCTCCAGGCCAAGTACACCAACCTCCTCGGTCTCGCTCGTGGAGAAGGAAATCGCCGGCCGGATATTGGCGGGACTGCCCGTGCTGATCGCTCAGGTCTTCGGCGGGTCGCTAGCGCCAGCGGGCTTGCTGTGGCGGAATGTCGCATGGCATTCGCAGGCAGAAGGCATAGACCTCCTGCACGCCCTTGCGGGAGTGCTGCGGCGTGCTGCGACAGTGCCCCGTTTGGTGCGCGCCGTGGCGGCGGCGGATGCAACTGAGGGCGCGTTCATTGGTTTGCGAGCGGAGGCCCCAGTTGTCGTCATTGGGGGTGGCAGTTGGGAACCAATCCGCGATCCTGCAGTATGTGGTGCTGGTCTCCGCTGCACGTGCGGAACTCTGGTTTTCAGCTCCCTGGCTGGCGACCCTCCCTCCGTTGCCTACAGCGGCAAGCGCAACTTCGTGCTCGACGGAGTCATCCACCAGAAGAACGTGCGCGAGGGTTTTCCATAAGTGTGCAGCAGAGAGTCCTCGGAACACCAGCGCTCCCTGTGCAGCCAGGCCGTTCGATGTAGAGTCGGAGGAGGGTGTTGCAGACAAAAACAAAGATTCTCTTGCCGCTGTGCCTGGAGGAGGATTCAGGTTTCTTTGCGTTGATCTTGGTGGGAACAGTTTTGGGACGGGTTCCGACGTGCAGGCCGCATCGGAGGACGAGGCGGCGATCTTGGGCTTCATCCGGACGCGTGAGCTCGAGATGCTGACGTGGAGCGCACGCCCACCAGTGCGTGCCACGAGCGCGAGGCCTGGGCCATTCGTGCGACGGCGCGCCCAGCTGGACCAAGAGGCGGCCATTTGTGTTCGGGAGCAGGAGCTGCGGGACTGGAGTGCCAGCGTTGCGGAGAGGGCTGTGAGACAGAGACCACAGCCTTTTGTGCGTAGGCGTGAACAGGTGAATCAATTGACCCGCTTGTTCGAATGCCCGACGGACCGAGCGATATCCCAGAGTGATTGCGCACAATCGTAATCAGTAGTTCCGACACTTTCCATGTTCTTGATGTGTTGTTGTTGTTCCTGCAGTATGTTCCATGCCACCGGGGTGGGCTGTTTCACGCGATTTGCGAGTGTCGAAGCGAGTTGCAGAACCAAGCGGTAACACTTACTTTGCTCGGGTTGTCGTTTCGCCCACGGAGCGGTATGATGAAGAGAGAGAGAGAGAGAGCCTCTGGAATATATAAGGATATGATGTGTATACATATGTATACACAAGGTTGCAGTGGCGGTGCGCGCCATGCACCTCGGTCCTCTGAGTTTCGCACGCAAGCGGGGTGCGTGCGTACGTGCATGCGCGCGTGTATGTATACACGCGCTGGCGCACGCACGCTCAGCACACATATCTATGTGTATACCACACATGAATGTTGTCGTATATGTGTATACATATTACATATATACATGTGTATGTAGATGTATATGTCAATCGCAGGTGGTTGTTGGTGCGCACGCCTATATGTAATTATGGGTGCGCATGCGCATGCGTATCTAAGGCGGCAATGGCCTGACAGCCTGCACAGGGCATCTCGCAACTCAGAGGCGCGAGGATTTCAGGCGCAAGTAGCCAGACTACCACTGCGCAGTTTTCAAGCGAGAGTGAATTGACCACCTCAGCTGAGGACGCACCCGAACCCGGAATTACGAGGATGTCTCGAACGAAAATGGCGCGAACACTTCAGCTCAGGGCATCCCTGAATCCAAAGTTGCGAGGATGTCTCATGTGAAAGTGGCGGACTACTCTGCGGCGGGGCATTTCGGAATCCAGAGTTGCGAGGATGTTTCTAGCGAGAGTGGCCAGAACACCTCAGCTCAGGGAGCCCCGGAAGCTAGAGTAGCGAGAAGGTCTCCAGCGGAAGTGGCCGGACAACCTGTGGGCGGGGCTTCTCCGGGGTCAGAGTTGCGAGGGCGTCTCCGCCGACAGTGGGGGGGGGGGAGGCAAAGGGGAAGAGCAGCGGGGGGGGGCCCGCGGGCCTGGGGACAGGCAGGCGCGAGCACTCAGGATCGGAAGGCATGGCATGGAGGCTGGTGGGAACTGACGCGGGCGCAGGGCGCTGGGGGCTGGCCTCCGAGAGCGTTGAAAGACAGGGGGGCCTGAGAAGGACTCGAGGGCGGGCGCCGCCAGAACCTTTGGGGCAAATCTGGAGGCCTCGTGGACTTGTCGGAGCGCCGCGTGTCTGATTGCTACGCGGCAGGGCGTATCCGAGGTTGGCGTTGCGAGGATGTTTCGGGCGAAGCTGGCCCGAGCACTATGGACCAGGGCATCTCCCAAGTCAGCTAGCTGTGCGAGAGGGTCTCGAGCGAAGAGTGGTCTGAACACCTCAGACCAGAAGGTCGAAGACTCCCTTGCAAGAGCGTCCGAGCAGCCCCCGGGGGGCTTCCAAGCAGGTCGAGCAGCCCGGGAATGGGCCCCCCGGCAGCCCGGGGAGTCCGAAATGCGGTCGGGGGGGATGTGCGGGCACGTGTGCGTGTGTATGTATGTATGTACGTGTGGAAATCAAATGACAACGCCTTCCAACGTCTGAACGCCCCAATAGCGTTTGACGCTCGTTTTACACGATAAGTCATTGTTAAACGATGTCTACATCCGCGCAGTAATTTCTTCCATGTAAAACGCTTTCGGGCCGTCTCGGGCCGCTCGTGGCCCCAAAAAGCGAAAACCGAGAAGCAACAATTTCAAACCTTTTTAACAAAACAATGAATTTGGCTTATCCGGGCATTCGTGGGGGCCATTTTGGGCCGTTTTGGGACTCTCTTGGGCCGTTGTGAGGCCCTCTCGGGCCGTCTTCGGGCGTCTTGGAGGCCTTCGGCCGTCTTCGGGCTGTCTTGGGGGCCTCCGGGGGCCCTCTCGGGGGCCTCTGAGGGTGCTCCTGAGGCTCTCTTGGGGCCGTCTTGGGGCTTCCATGGTAGTTTTCAGGCCCTCTCGGGCCGTCTAGGGGCTCTCGTGGGCCGTTTTCGAGCCCTTTGGGGGGCCTCTGGGGCCGTGTTGGGGCGATCTTTGGAGCCTGTTGGGTCGTCTCGGGCCGCTCTTGTCCCGGAAAAGCGAAAACCGAACATGCCTTCGAAAACCATTGAAGAAACAATGAATTGCGCCTTTTCGGGCCCTCTGCCTCTTGGAGGCCTCTTGGGGCGTTTGGAAGCCATGTTGAAGGTTTTGGTGTGCTTTGGAATTGTCGACGAGCTGTCTCGGGGAAATATTGGAGGCCTCTATGGACCTTCCGAGAAGGCAGGGGGGCCGGAGGAACCCTTTGCAAGGGCGTCCGAGCAGCCCGGGGGGGCTCCAAGCAGCCCGGGGGGTCCGAAATTCGCCGGGCGCGGGGGGGGGGCGCTTTTTCCGGCCCCCCCGGCCTTATGACATATATAATAGGAATATACATATATATATATATATACACATTATATATATATATATATAGAGAGAGAGAGAGAGAGAGAGAGAGAGAGAGAAAAAAAAGAGAGAGAGAGAGAGAGAGAGAGAGATAGAAGAGAGAGAGAGAGAGAGAGAGATAGAGAGAGAGAGAGAGAGGAGAGAGAGAGAGAGAGAGAGAGAAGGGAGGGAGAGAGAGAGAGAGAGAGAAAAAACAGAAGAGAGAGAAGAGAGAAGAGAGAAGAGAGAAGAGAGAAGAGAGAAGAGAGAACATAATATAAGAAGATAAGAGAAGAGAAGAGGAGAGAGAGAGAGAGAGGAAAACAGAGAGAGAGAGAGAGAGCAGCCTGGAGCCCGATTGGTGCGTTTCTAACAACGTATGTTGCGCAGCCGATGCGGGGCGAGATACGTGGTGCAACATGCGTGGCGCGTGCTATCTGGAGCAACCTAGGCCCTGCGATCGACGCGGTGCAACGCATGCTGCGCACTTGTGGTTTTTACAAGCGAGTGGACATTCCATGCTCTTGCAAAAATCGCAATCGCCCACCCGCAATGCGGTTTGCAAATACCATGCGGCTGCGATTGCGATGAGTGCTTGGCGCTGGCAGAAGCATCTCCGTGGCCGCGCCGGCCCGCGCGTGCGCGCGCGCGGCGGCCGGCTAGTTTGGCGCGACCGACGCGGCCGCGGTGGCGTGGGCCGCTGGGCGCATTCCAGCGGGCGCTTCGCTGCGAGTCGGCGACTTGGGCGGACGCGGTGTCATTGCAACGTCGACGACGGTAGACGCGATGATAGTTGCGATGTTGGCGATGCTGACATTGACGGCGGCGCGGCCAGTGGCGGCGCCGATGCTGGTCGCGCCGGCGACGACGACGGCGCCCTCGCGTGGGCGATGAAGGTCTTGGAAGGAGTTCGACGCGCGCGCGCGGGCGACGCGGCCGCATGTTTTAATTTGGCGCGGATCGCGCCCCCCTGGCGCGCGCGCAAGGGCGCCCGAATGATTTCGGCGCGCCGCGCGAGAGACCCGCCCGGCAGAAGCCCGTGACAAAATATGTAGCGATTTCTGGTCTCTTCAAGGGTTCGACGGGGCTTGGGCGCAGGTTTTTTTTTTTTTTTTTTTTTTTTTTTTTTTTTTTTTTTTTTTTTTTTTTTTTTTTTTTTTTAAAAAAAAAAAAAAAAATAAAAAAAAAAAAAAAATTAAAAAAA